CGGGGACAGAGAAAGAGTCCGACCCGTCTTTGCTCCCTGGTGCCAGAACACTCCTGCGCCAAAGCCTGTTATATTCTTACTATCCAGTTAATAAGCTGCTCTAAATTGAGGAAGAACAGTTCACTCTCAGTCACCTGAACGACAAGACTTTGTTATTCACAACAAGAGCCAAAGCTTTGAAGATTAAACTTTTGATGCCACAACCTTTTACAGATGAGCTCAAAAGTATTGGACCTGCTTGAATCTTTCGTGTTGATTTAAAAAAAAAAATACACCTCTGCCAAAAGCACCTCTACTTCCTTCACTGTTTCCTCCTACAATAAGCTGACTCTGGCTGCAATCGATCCCTTCGACATCTACCAAAATAACTGAAGCTATAGCATATCAATACACTTAGACTAGAACTCAGTGAAGATGTTTGACTAAAGCCATGTAAGTACTCAAAAATGAACTAGTACACTTTAGCTTGGACCTATCCTTTCTGCTACCACTCTTTCCGTCACCCCAGATGAACACTCTCCCATCAAATCATCAATGAAGGTCATGGACATTGGCAAGACAATCCTGGAGTGGCTCTGCGTAGAACTGTGATGAGATAACGTCGAAATACTATTGACCTGTGGCTCGAAAGGCACCAGATGTTTTATTATATTGAGTTAAAAGGTGGGTTTATTTCACCCAGTCTACCTCATTGAGTTTGTGGGACGTCACTGCTTTGTATTAAACTGTTAAGTGCTACTGTGGAAAGGGGAAGGCAGGAATGTCCATGGCAATTGCCTTCTCGGATAAGCAGGGAAACTTAAGCAGCAGGTTTGCTTCTATCTATATTTTGCTTTCTGATGACTACAATAGTGAGCCAGTGCAACTCTTTTTGATTTGATTATACAAGTGAGATACAGTATATGACGATGCATTACTTAGAGCAATCAAAACTCAAACGGGTGTCTTGGAGGCCACCTTTTTCCGACTGTAGATATCATGTAGCTGCATTGACACACATGCAGATCATGCTTTTAGTGTAGAAACGTTCATCTGGATTCTCTCGTGTTCTTGACGATGGAGCAAATTATGAGAAAGGGCCACAGTGCGGATCCACGTTGGTGCAATTTGAAAGATTATAGGGCAAAATGATGCAAGACTACCACTGCGCTTGACATGTTTTCCCATCTTGAATCCTTCCATCCTGCGTTCATTAGGTCGCCGTTCGGATCTCATCACTCCAACCAGGACTCTTAGGTGTAAAGCCTCTTCCCTTCTGTGATAGTGGACTGTTGTAAACTTACTGTAGTGAGTCTTTCTCTGCCTGCTGATGGCCGGTTGTATCTAAATCTATGTATTGTGGTTTGATAGTGGTAGCACAGTCTACAGGCTTGATGCAGTGACGGAGGAAGACTTAAAAAGGGCATTTCTATTTTCTTTTATATTCAAGTAATTTAAAACAGTTGAATTTCAAAGAAGGGAGTTGAACAAAGTCTCTACATAGCCCATGCTACTTTGTTCTTTTCTCCCATGACTTATGACCTCACATTAAGAATAAATGCAAAATGTATAAACTGTACATAATAGGGGTCTAAACTCTTTATCCAACCCCTTTTTAATCAAATTCAAAATTGTAGAGAGAGAAAATTCATGAAAAAAGCAACCACTGGATATCATTTTATCAGAAAACTAAATGTGTATATATCTATAAATATATGTAAAATGGCAAACTAAGTAATATCTTTATGTATATGAATCAGACTGTTTTTGCATTTAACTTCTTTTTTCTTTTTTTTTTCTATCTGCGTTGTTTTTCCTACAAGACCATATACATTTGAACTAAAAAGGTGTGATGTTTCTCTTGTCTTCACTAATGAATTTTGGAAGACTGGTTGCGGTGAATGGCAAACATTTAAGATGGGATTCATGCAAAGTCTTTTAATGGAAATTGATTATTATTATTTTTTTTTTTTAAAGAAACAGCAGTAAAATGGTGCATAGCATTTGTGTATTTATGTAATATTGTTCACGTATATTTCTTTTATTTATGCTACTGCTTGTGAATTACTGAACCCTGTCCTTGAATCAGTGACAGTTTAATTAGCATATACAGTAAATGAGAAATCTTGAATCTCCCAAGATGATACTGTTTTTGAGTTGTGTCCTGTTGTTTTCTTCCCCTCCCCTCCCTGTAGAATTTAATGTTTGGTATGACTTCGTTGATCAAAAATATCTTCATTAATTACATGTGAATTGCACTCAGCATTATTTTATTTATACATCCTTCGAACTAGCATTGATTCTTTTAAGGGCCGTCTGTTATTAAACACAGGCACTTACTGAATTTTAGCTTGAGTGACTCTTTGCCCCCCTTTGTTCTTTTAAAATCTCTTAATTTAAGCTCTCTACAAGTGTTGTAATTAAATAAATCCTGATTTTGGTTTTCAACTTGATCTACTTTTTAAAAAAGATCCTGCAACTGTACAGCAGAGCTACTTTTAGGGAAGATGAATAAAATGGTAATTTTTATTGTATGTGGCATGTTTTGTATGGATATAATTTTGAATTGTACATATTTTTTGACGTCAGAGGTTGCATCTCTTTATATACGCCTGTCCCCTTCCCTCCCAGCCCTCCATTTATTTCTTTGTCTTTGCTTTCTTTCTTTGTAAAGAAAAATAAAACGCATTTTAAATATAAAGTTTTCTATGTGGTCACGTAAAATTTGTTCACCCGTGAAAAGCTTAGAAACTTATTTCACTTTGAGAAGCATCTCTTATAGGCAAAATCTGTGTAGAGATTATGTAAATTATACATTATAATTTAAAATATACATTTTAAGTAATTAAGCTATTGGACAGAGTCAATGAAACACAAATAAGAAAAAGCATTTATTACTGTATACCATTTATGTACATTATATTAACTAACCCACAAGTGGATTTGTTTTCAATATGTTTAAAATACACATGGAGCCTTAGGATCAAAAACTCGTATGCATTGGATTGAAAGCATAACTACCGTCTGAATCAAGTGTCATTCCTTAAGTCTTCAGCAAAAGTACATGTTTTACAAACATCTGCAAAATCCGAGTTGTAAGGGGGAAACAAGCAAGCACAATATAAATAGTGGAACAATTAGCCTATACATTTCTAAGCACAGAATTCCCAGTGTATGATGTAGAACACCATGATAACAAAATTCAGTCATATTTAGTTATTTAAGCCATTCTTACTGTCACAACTCGACTGAATCATGCTGCTGTCATCAGGCATATTCCAGCTACGCAGAGCAGATTCATAAGATATGACCTCAACAGTATAAAATGCACAGGTCAATCAGAAATGGACTGTAATAGAGTCTGCAATTGATTTGTTACACATAATACAGGACCCTTGTTCTCCTCCAGCCCTTCAACAAGCATTTGGCATTAATGCCATAATCTAGTCATGTTTCGCACCTACTGTCACACATATCCCAGATTCCAGTTAACCATTCAGAACATCTGCAGATTTCTGACTGTGATCAAGACATTGGTGCAAGTAAAGTTAATAAAGGATGGAGGGAATAGTGCATTTGGCATTCTAGGGATGTCGCCATGCCCAGCATTTGGTGGTTAGTCTTGGCAAACCCTATATGTAAAGATGAGGAAGAAATGTTCAGTAGTACTTTTAAATTAAACTGAATGACAACTCTTCAATGCAAGGCAAAGCAGAGCAATATAAATGCTGTAATGCAGGCAAACAGAGAGATGCATTATTTTACATCTGTGTTTTCTGAAGTGGTACCAACTACTACATCCCTAAAAGGACTCTGGGTGCAAACAAATAACAACAGTGCAGTTCAACATGCCGATATCCCAGAATAATGGGAATAGAACATACTAAACGTTCCCATTAAAATTAGCTGATTTTTAAAAAAAAGCATACAAGTGGTAGTGACTTTCGTCCTGCAGATTTCTGACTGTGATCAAGACATTGGTGCAAGTAAAGTTAAAGGATGGAGGGAATAGTGCATTTGGCATTCTAGGGATGTCGCCATGCCCAGCATTTGGTGGTTAGTCTTGGCAAACCCTATATGTAAAGATGAGGAAGAAATGTTCAGTAGTACTTTTAAATTAAACTGAATGACAACTCTTCAATGCAAGGCAAAGCAGAGCAATATAAATGCTGTAATGCAGGCAAACAGAGAGATGCATTATTTTACATCTGTGTTTTCTGAAGTGGTACCAACTACTACATCCCTAAAAGGACTCTGGGTGCAAACAAATAACAACAGTGCAGTTCAACATGCCGATATCCCAGAATAATGGGAATAGAACATACTAAACGTTCCCATTAAAATTAGCTGATTTTTAAAAAAAAGCATACAAGTGGTAGTGACTTTCGTTGACAAAAAAAACACTTATTTTCTCAGGATGCCATCGGATAATAGGACTAAACTTGAGCAATCATCCCCACAATGCATTCAGCAATCACAACACGGATTTTAAGAACCTGAAAGCAATTAAATAAAACGTGCACACACACACACACACACACTCCCTGTGAACATTTATTAGCATTCGAACCTGAAACCACATTGATTGAGTGAGTTTTTAAACAAACGCATCCTGAAGAAAAATAAATTAGCAGGCTGATTTTTACTGGAGTAACAAAGAACTGCAATGCCACGCTTTGCTACACTTAGCTTTGTACATGAATTGCTAGGAGACAGTGTTATCCACATTTTTTTTTCACATTCTCACAACAGCAGTAGAGCACTATATATATATATATATATATATATATATATATATATAT